CAACACACACACACACACACACACACACACACACACACAACACACACACACACACACCACACACACACACGGGAGGAGAGAGACAGAGACAGAGACAGAGACAGACAGACAGACACACAGAGCCAAAGAGGGAAGGGGGGAGAAAGGAAAAAGGGGAGGGGATGCAAAGGGTTAGGAAGAGGAGGAGAGAAAAGAGGGGAGGGAGGGGAGAGGAAAGGGGGAGGGGAAAGCAGGTGGAATTGTTTGTTCCTATTTGAGCAATTTCGCTGCTCTATCCGCCTGGTGTGGTAGCACATGCCTGCAATCCTGAGATAAGAAAACTGCCATGAGTTCAAAGCCAGCCATAGCTACACAGCAAGACCTGTATCACATGAACAAACAATAACAAAAAAAATGAACAGATAATTCACCAGAGAAAATATATAAATGACAAATGAGCATTTAAATAAGTACTCAACTTTATTACTCACTAGGGAACACTAAACTTGATTTAATTTTAATTTATAACTAAATGTCATATAACTACATGCCAATTAGGATGACTAAAGTTTGAAAGAAAAAAGAATGAAAGGCCATGTACAGAGGCATATCAAATACAACTCTACTAAGAAGAATTTAAAAAGAGATTATAAAGTTGCTTTGGAAAACAATTTAATGTTTTCTTAAATATACACTTAGCATATAACCCAGACATCAGACTCCCAGGTATTTATACGAGAAATGAAACGCTATGATCACATAAAAACATTTCCATAAATATTTAACCACAACTGCTACAAAATAAGGAACCCAACGGCCCATTAGCAAGTGTCCAGAGATAAGAAAACAATGATCTGGTCACAAAATGGAACAGTGCCCCAGAAGGAAAAGAATTAACTGCTGATGTGCATAAAGACGGAAGACAGAGATGTGTCTTTCTAGGTGAAAGGTGGGGCCTGGATGGCTCAACGCTTCACTGCTGCACGGCACTAGGGCAAGGGCATGACCACACAGACGGCCACCTGTGTGACCTAAGCATGACCAACTCCCAAGGCTACACAGTGGAGCAAGGAAACAGTGAAGCAAATGTGTTGCTACATGGGAACAACAAATGTAGGAAGAACATGAACCTGAGCCCCTACTGGGCATCACACAGGTGTTAATTATGACTGACCATACAGACATAAAAACTAAAACCACGAAACATCTAGAAAATAACAATAAGGGCTTATTATCTTCACTGCTTTGGGGTAATGAAAGATTATTATAATAAAAGTAAAACACCAAAACAGAAAAAAAAAGTTTTATTTCTGTGAGAACATAAAGTGGTATTACCATTTCAGAAAAGTCCTTCCTACAGTTTCCTACAACACATAACTAAGAATAAACTAACAACTGCACTCTTTGGAGGTAGCCAAGAAAAATGAAACCATGTTGACAAAACACTTGTCCAACAGTTTTTGCATAAAGTCCATTCATAATAGTCCCAAACTGGAAATAAACCAAATATCCACCCACCCATTTTCAATCAAATTGTGATGTGACTATGAAGTGGAATACTATTAAACCATAAAAAATAATAAACTACTGACACATAACAACATAAGTAATATTATGTTCGACATCAACATCAAGTGAAATAAGCCAACTGCCAATGAATAAATACTGAATGACTCCATTTGTACAAAATCCAAACCTTGTGCAATTGATCGGTAATGAGGAACAGGAGAATGGCAGCCGCCTGTGAAGTGACAAATGACTGCAGCAGCACACAACATTCCGACAACGGAGATGTGTGAAGCCTTCACAGAGTAAGATTATGAGTGCTGACATTAGCCAAAACACCAAATGGGCCGTGCTTGGAGGCACACCCTTAGAATACCAACACTAGAAAGGCTGATGCAGGAAGATTGTGAATCTGTAATACATAAAGACATTCTGTCTCCAGGGGGGGGAAATCAAAACTGTATACTTGTGAGCTCCTTCCACTGAATTAGATTATGGTGATAGATTGTGTACCCTAATAAATTTGCCTGAAGATCAGAGAACAGAACAAGCCACTAGATTAAACATAGAAGCTAGGTAGTTGTGGCACACACCTTTAATCCTAGCACTTGGGAGGCAGAGCTCCAGAGAGATAGACAAGTGGTCTTCAAACACTCCAGAGATGTATGAAATACAGCATTAAAGATATTTTAATAACATAAAGTTCTTTTTATTTTAATGACAATGAAACAAGTCTGCTCCTGGCAGCACCAATCTACTTCAGAGATGATGGGCATCAAAGAAACTCCATATGGAATTTACTTTCTTTGTAGCAAAAGTAGCCACTGGGCAAGAAAGTACCCTTTCCTCGACTGCTGACAGTATGCTGTCCAAATGGACAAGCAGGACACAAAAGAAAGGACTGCTGAACCTTGCCAAGAAAAAGTAGGAAGACCCTTCAGAAAATCCTGCTCCACAGATGAGTCTGTCAGATATGCTAGGCCTATAGGCTGAAGATGGATGCCCTGAAGTTGCAGAGGAACCTTGAGTGACTATCCAGGCAGCCAGCTGTTTCTGTCATTTCTCACATTTTTGGAAGTTACTTGCCTGTACTTCCTGCTTGTTTAGTTAATATTATTTCCTTCTTGGGTCTCTGAGGGAGTTGAAGTCTAGACAGTTATAGTTATAGTTTTCCTTGTTAACAAATTCAGAAAAGAAACTCACCAAAGAGGTGTAAAGTGTATAAGTTTGAAAGACATCAAAAGATAGTATTTAGTTGGTAATACAAGTTAGGATAGAAAGGGAATTAGGTACAACATTTTGGACTCACCAAAATAGGATAAATAATGGAATATTTTCTCTGAATTTGTCAAATGTTTATGGATTGGACATTGTTAATTTAATTTTTGACTGTATATATTGTATATATTTATTATATTTATTTTATATACTTTTTCTTATTAGTTATAACCTTCTTTTATTATTTTAGACAAAAAAGGGGAAATGTGGTGATACATTGTGTACCATAATAAATTTGCCTGAAGATCAGAGGACAGAACAAGCCACTAAATTACACATAGAAACCAGGCAGTGGTGGCATACACTTTTAATCCTAGCACTCGGGAGATAGAAATCAGTCTGGATCTCTGTGAGTTCAAAGCCACCCTGGACTACATGAGATTGACTCAGTCTAGGAGAGAAACAGAGCCAGGCAGTGGTGGCACACACCTTTAACCCCAATACTTGGAAGTCACATGCTTTTAATCCCAGCACTAGGAGTGTTGAGACAGGAAATGATATAGGTGGGAAGAGAAAGGTATATAAGGTATGAGGAGACAGACTTTCAGCTGAGGAAAGCTTTTCAGGATGAAGAGTCCTAGAGGTAAGGGGGGCTTTGTTCCTTTGTTTCTCTGATCTCTCAGCATTTACCCCAATATCTGGTACTGGGTTTTTTTTATTATAAGACCATTTAGGAATTCATGTTACACTGGATCTTTTACTTCAGTTTGAAATATAAAGTACATCATATTAATACCTGAATACAATGAACAAATGGCTATTTTCAGGAAACATGTTTACTGATTAATTCAAATCCACATAGAAATGCCTAAGTTCACATAGGGCCTATAATTAGTATTCCTAATAAAGCTTACACCTCAGAATTATTTTACAACTATAACTCTACCTTTCATATTAGTTGATATATGAGATTTTCATCATTATGACAAAAATCTCTAAGGAAGTATAAAGCAGGAAGGATGTACTCTGGCCTGTGGTCCTTTGGCTCTGTCACTGATGAACAACACAATGACGTACAGCAGGAAGATGGGAAAGCTAAGCAGTTGGCCTCATGGTGGATAGGAAGCAGGAAGGGAGGAGGTGCGGAGCCAGGACACATCTTTCTATTGATACCCCCAGTAAGCTGCTTCCTACAACCAGGCCCCACCTCCTACTTTTTGCCACCACCCAGTAATGCCATCATATCCAACACAGATTTAATCTGTTAGGTTGGGATGCAAGGGGCTCCATCACCTCCCCAAAGCCTGTCAACCAGCAAGTAAACTCCCAACTCATGAGCTCATGAGAAAATGTCATATCCAACCCCTAAGTCAGTAAACACATGTCAACCACAAACGAGCTTAAGTGATAGTTCAGCTGAAGCCCCCAAAATGGAATAAGCTGCACAAAAGGCTATTTACACTGTCAATATCTTACCAGATCTCCTAATGCTTTATTTTAAAAATAAATAAAAGATTTCATCATTTAACCAAAAAGATTAGGGTTTTAACAACAACAACAAAATTATCTTCAAGCTCAAGTAAAAGACAATCCTTCAAACAGACACACACAGAAATAGACACAGGTATTTTGTCACATCAATGAAATAGGTAACATACCTTCTAATGTTACATGAAACTAGAATTAAAATGCAGGTCCTACTGTAAAATGACCGTGAGATGTATTTTATCTTCTTTGCTAGGTTTGATTGGGAACAGAAGATTTAGGTAGTTAAACATATTTTCTCTATATAAATTATTGCCATTTATATATTGTTAGCTATCATTCCTGCCTATAAGAAGTAGCATAATGCCTACTGTGTATTTGCATGATCATAATATAAACAAGTTCTATGAGGTCTTCAAAAAGGTTTAAACTGATCTAGAGTTGATACAAAATAAAAATTGAACCGTTAATCCCAGCACTATGGAGGCAGAGGTAAGTGGATCTCTGCAGGCTAGCCAGGGCTACATAATGAGACTCTGCCCAAAAACAGGGGAAAAATAGAAATGGTTAAACAAAACACTATTTTTCGAGATACTTTTATTAATCCTTTGCAAATGTTAAATCACTCAGATTCGCCTGGCTCCTCCTGGCGATGGCCAGCTCTCTGCAGAGCAGCGTACCTGTGCCCTCCTCTGCACCTCCAGGAGCAGCTCGGAATACTGGAACTCCAGCTCCTTCTTTTGCTTGTGCCAACAGCTCTCTTGGGCCTTGATCTGTTCCGCCACTTTGCTGAAGGTGTCTTCCTGGGTCTGCTGAAGCTCTCTCATGGTATCGGACTTGTTTTTACAGATATACTCCAGGTGACTTATCTATAAATGGAAATGAAATCCAGATTGAGACATGACATCACATCTGTAGCTCAATAAAAACCCTATATTCTCTACTACAGTTTACCCCTAAGATCATATAAACATTTTAAGTTAAAAATGTAAATAAAGTAAGAACCATAAATTATGGGGAGGGGGTGAGTTAGACAGTTTAGCATAAAAAAGGTATCATTTTCATACTTAAACAATGAATTTTTATTTTTCCTCTTTCTAACAAAGTAGCTTTTTCTATCATCAATTTTACGGAGATAATTTGGGAAATTATTCTTATTTCTAGAACCGAAGCTCAAACTATTTGAGGTGTCTCAGTGAGAAAGGAAATACTTAAATGAGATTTACAAATGAGCAAACATTAAACATATAATAACACAGAAAAATTACACCCAGTTTTCATTTTAACAAACACTAAAAAGAAAACCCGTATCTTCTAACATGCATGTTGATTAATATTCTGAAGCTACGAACGGATATTAAATATATCATCTCAGAGAGGTAATGCACATATTTAATTAGCAGTCTGTTTTAACCCAGGTACTAACTCACAGCCACAGACAGCATCTGCTTCTCAGTTTATTCCCAGTTTATTCTAGCTCTACTTCACAATGACTTTGGTTGTACCGTTAGTACACTAAAGATAAAATGCTCAATAATACAAGAGCTCACCCTGAAGTTGGGCCATTTCGGTAATACAACATATATCTTTTTAAACTCACAAAACTGTTTTTCTCTTCTGATCCTTTAATGTCACTGTAACTGAGACCTAGACATTACACCACAGTTTATTGTCACAAACACAGTCCTGAGAAGTCAACAGGCCCAGAATAAGTAATGGTGTCTTAAATGGCAGCATACACGACCTACTCACCTCTTAACTTTCTATAGCAAGAGCAGGGCTTTTTTCTGTTTGGGAAATACTGAATTCCTAGGTTTAATAGAATAGTAAAGTGACTGTAAAGTATACAATTTTAATTATAAAATACACATTTCCCAATCTAAAATATGGGTTGTGTTTTCTCACAGTTTGTGACATTTGAAGAAACAAGTCAAGGTGTCATTTAAAATTTTTTAAGTACTTTTAAAACAATACTTCCTATTTCCTAAGCAAAGACTTTTAAGACTATGTTTTTGAATAACTACATCCTATTTCTATTTTATGCTAACATAAAGAGTTGGTTTATTAATGTAAATGACTAAGTTCTTTGAATTGCTTCATCAGTAAGATTAATTTATTTTCTCTTAATTAGGTCCCTGTGGCTAATACTGGCTAGTAGTATTAGCATGTCCTGCACAGAAAGTGGAGCTTAGAGACTTCATACAGACTTCAGTCACATTTACATGCCCACAGCAATGGCATCAAACTGAGTTGTAGACAAGCCATAATTAATGGTACTGAATTATTAACATCCAAATTCTTTTTGAAATAAGATGAATGTCAGCCTCTCTTAATGATACTGTGATGTGGACAAATGTCACTGAATTTAATAGAGGTATCTGGTGCCTGAGGACAGTTACCTTCTCATTAGCCCTGTTGAGGTCTGCGATGAGGGCATCAACATTCTCCTGCAAGACTGCACAAAGCTCAGACCAAGAGAATTTATCCAGCATGCCTTCTGGTTGTTTTATGAGCACACAGCCTGCTACCAAGTGCTGATATAAGGTGTGAAGGAAGGTTAGCTTCTCCTGCAAGAAAAAAGGACTCGTTAACTCCTGAATGTAAACACTGGAGGAAGTAAAATACACAGTACAAGTAGGAAAGCATTTTTTTTACTCTAGAAGGAAAATACTCAAGTTTCAGCTTTTATCATTTCAATGGCCTTTTTTCTCACATTCATAACCAAGCATTAGATAAAATACTAATGTCCACTTTAAATTACTTAGACTCCTTAGACTGGTACTCAAAACACAACTGTAATTAGATCCAGAAGACAGGGTCTGTGATCCTGCTTGCTACTGCTGGGATGTGAGCACCTGTTTAGGTTAAGTTTTAAAATCTATAACACAAGGTAGTTGGGTCAATTTTCTGTAAGAATCTTTCATTTAAAGTCAAAATAGTAAATCTATAATTTCCTACTTGTATTTTAAAAAACAGATGTTAAGTCATAAAATGGCATCAAGATAAGAGTGTTCTTGCACTCTAATGAAAGGCACGCTGTATCAGTGTCTGTACTTTACATGTCCACAATCACACAGCGCTCCTCCTCCCCCAGAGATTCGACTCTACTCACCACTTATAGGAAATCTATCCTGACCCCTTAGGCGAAGCACACAGTGATATGAAAGCTATGGAAGCAGGGCTCATTTGTTTTCCCCACTTAGAGGTTTATGTTGTATTCGGCACACTGGGCATCTGTGGGTGTTTAAATATTACAAAGTAGCGGAACAATTTAAAGTGGATAGGCTGCCCAAGACACATTTTCAAAACTGTCCAATTAGAAATACGTTTGAAAAGCCCTTTAAAAGCATATTGTCATTACAATCATTAACTATCCCCTGCTGAATGGCCTAAAGATATTTACTCTGCTCTAAAATCCAGTGTAACACTGACTCATCTTGAGCACACTTGGAGGATTTAGTTACTAAGATGACAAATTGCCCTCTTTATAGATATTTCATCTCAAAACATGAAACTCAAAAGATGAAGTAATTGTGAAGCTTCAAAATGAACATTTTATGTGGATAAAATCAGTTCCCTCAAAATGTCTTAATATATCAGGAGGAGGAAAAAAAAAACCTGAAAGAAGAAAAACTGGGAGAAAAAATGGAAATTATAATATAGATTTTTTTTAAATATTAAATATATTAAAGACTTTGTTTTGTCATTGAAAATTGTAGCAACTGTTTTCCTGAACATTTCAAGGTAAATGACAGTAATTCACCAGTATACTATCTCACTTTTTCAAATACAGTAATTTAAAAATAAAATTAAGCAAATAAGTAAATATAGTTACACCCAAAAAAAAAATTGGATCAAGAAATAAAAAAACAGCTGGGTGTGGTGGTATATGCCTTTTATCCCAGCATTTGGGAGGCAGAGGCAGGAGAATCTCTGTGACTTTGAGGCCAGCCTAGTCTACAGAGTGAATTCCAGGACAGCCAGGGTTCTGTAGAGAAAGACTCTGTCTCAAAAAAAAAAAAAAAAAAAAAAAAAAAAAAAAACACAAAGAAAAGAAAAAGAGAGAGAGAGGGAGGGAGGTAGGAAGGGAGGAAGGGACAAAGGAAGAAAGAAAAGAAAAGGTAAAAACTGCTGATACAAATGTACTGTGCATTGTTCCTTTAAAAGAAGAATGACTTCTACACTTTCAAGTGTTGTGATATGCACAAAAATCTGATTAAGTCCACCACCATACAAGTGTAAATTCAGGCACTAAAACCATCATCCTCCACATCTTTACTGAGATCACAGCTCTGCTGGAAGAAGCTGTGTCGCCATGACGTCCTTTTTGCTCAGGCCGTGACAAACCAGGGATGGAAGTCATCCATTTGTTAGGAAAAGATTATCACTAGATCCAAAATCAGTTCACACATGTGAACCCCGCCCCAACACTCTAGACACTGACTTCACAATGCAGTCAGGCTCCTGGTTCCCTTCACTTTAACCTCCGTCTGCTGGGTAGAACAATTCCAACCCTTCATGTGGACACAATTGAAATCCCAGACTCCAAACTGGAAAGAATGTTCCTTTCTACTCTCTTGGCATTGGAGTTTGTATTTGTTGAAATAATGAATCCAATATGCAGGAATTTAGATAAATGAATCCATCAAGTACGGGATCTCTATACGCCAGAAGTAAAAGAAAATTAGAGACAAAGCAGGCGCATACAGAATATGAAAATTTTGTCATGATATTTTAAGAATTAATCATTAATAGGACTTGAGAGACAATTCAGCAGTTAAGAGCACGGGCTGCTCTGGCAGAGGACCAGTGTCCAAGTCCCAGCATGCACATGGCAGCCCACAACTGTCTGTAACTCCAGTTCTGACCTCTGTGGGCACCAGGCATCCATGTGGTAGACAGACATACATGCAGGCAAGGCATCCATAGGCATAAAATAAAAACAAATAAATCCCAAAATAACTTTAATATGTTACTAATAAATACAAATGGGTAGAAAACTATCCAGAGCATCCAACTTGTAGTTTTCATTTTATGAAACTTTTCTTTTTCTCGGTTTTCATTAGTATATCATAATTACAAAGAAGGAGGAGACTGCCTGGAGTTGATGTTCCTGTTTTGTCATTAAGGAGATTGAGATGTGGGGTGACACACCTACATGGCTTGTCCACAGTCAGGCTCTGTGTAGAAAGAAAACACAGGATCCAAGGCCAAACCTATCTGGTTACAAAAGATATTCTTTCCATCAAGCCATGCTGTAGAATTACTCTAATGAAAAATGATGTTTTTCCTGGCAAACAGGCCAACCTTGACAAGACAGTAAGGACCATGGCAGAGTGAGATATGACAGATCCAAGCAGGGAAGAAAGTCGATGGCCCAAGTGACATAAGGGTCAAACGGGGTTACCTTTTCTTTTCTTTTCTTTTTTTTTTTTCTTTTCGAAAATTAGGACAAGGAGGCAAAACAAAGGAGGTGAGTCTGCAGCTGTGAGGAGCATTTCAAAGTGTGATGCCCAGAACACTCTTTAAATTAAATCAAATATGAGGAACACCAGTCATCGGTGCATGTAAGATATACAGCCGCGGTCAATGGAAGGCCTTCCTGTCCCCGTGCACCTGGGGTGATACCTCAGTGTCCTTCTGAAAGGCCTGGGACACCTTCTGCAGCTCGCTCTCACACTGGGCTGCCCGCCCCTTCTCCTTCTCCCAACAATGCAGGACGTTCTGCAGCTCCACCTTCAGCGTGCTTACGAGGGCCTCGCGGTCCGCACACTTGGTGCGGAGATGACTCAGCTCCTTATGGCCCTCGGTCAGTTTGTCCTGAAGGTCCTGTCAGAAACACCAAGTAAAGAGACTCTAGGAACGGAGAGGTGAGGCAGCGCACACAAATGGCAAATACATGATGAGAACCTTCAAAGCGGCAGCAGAAAACGATCGCCACTTGTTTATGATGCCAAACACTTAGGGTATTTTACTGAATGTATTGTCTAAGTAGAAAAAATTAGAAAATTTGCAATTTTCAAGCACATACATTTTATTAAAACTGCTTATTCCAAAAAGTTATTTAAAAGGAGTTTTCCTTTTAACTCATTATTTTAAAAAGGCAATTTAAAAAACAACTTTAGTAACACTTAAGTAACATGGAAAACCATAAATCTCTTTACATTTAATATAAGGACATTGACTCTCCAATGACAGTCCAAATACTAATAGAAACCTCAAGAATGAGATGTACTAAACTGTGCTATGGAACGGTCTGCATTACAAATTCAGCTTCAACACCAACACTTTAAAATCCCAACGAAGACTGAGAAACTCAAATTTTGCAGCATTATAGCTAAAACTAACACAGAAACTAAAACCAACTATGTGCTTGAACCTTGACCAACTGTGGTCTCAGCCCACTGGCCAGACGTGATGGACTGAAAACAACAGCTCCCCCCCAAATGTCAAAACTGACTCTACAGATGGACAGACACGCTTATGCAGAATGTGTCTACTGCTTAGCTAAAGCAGGACAGTAAGTCTCAAAGCATTTCAGTCTGCAATACTATAATTATATCAGAGAAATGAGTTGTTCCTTTAACCAAAACAGTAGGATCAACAAAAATGTTAATGTGCATTCAAAAATATTTTAAAAATTGAAGCTTTATTTTTAGTTATCTCTCAAATAATCCCTTTGTACGCTATCTGTCTCTTAACAAAGGGAAAGGGTAACTTAAGTTGCAATACCTTTATATTTTTAGTGTGAGACTCGATCTTCTGTTTGGTAGAATCGAGTTCATTGGATGTCTTTTCCTTGGCATCATTTACGCTGCTCAGCTGATGAAAGAAATGGAGCTTTTTGACATGCTTCAAGAAGGAGTGACCCAAAAGCTAACTTTCAAATCTTGCTATGCAATTACTTAGGCATAAATATTTCAACAGTGATTGAGTCTCGGGCGCAACACTTATTTTGGCTAAAGGCTAGGCAGTTTCTGTCCCCAGCTCACCTGGCAGAAAAGAAAGCCTGAAAACGCCAGGGATGGTCTTATTGTGCTCGCTATCTAGATAAAGGATTTCGTTCTTACTGTAAACATAACTTTATTCTCAAAATCCTACTGGACCGAATGCCAGGAGCAGTGGCGTCTATAAGGAAAGAAGGGGGAGCAAGCAGGAGACTGTTTGGCTTTTCATCGAGAGGGCATTCTCTGGTCGCTCACTCCATATGACAGCTTCGGGCCGTCACACAGTCCTACTGGGAAGGCGGTGGCAGGTCATCAGTTGGTCCTGCACTGCCTGTGATTTATTGTCTTTGACAGTTCATTCTTCTTTCTGTCAGGCTGCTCTTTTTGCTTTCTTTGCGGCCACCCCCTCGGTCTCCCCACTGCTGTCTCTGGCACTGATTCACAACAAAGCACATTACTAAGCCAAAGCCTGCTGAGTCGACTTTTCAACTGTGCTGAGGATCATGTGACATTCATCCTCCCAAATAACAATTCGCTGTGGGTAATATGTTCCTAGTTACTCGGCAGCTTCCAGGTCTAGGCCTCAGAAGAACTTCAAAACTACTAACAATCCGGGTTGTCTTGTCTCTCTAGGAAAGACTTAACAATGTCTGTTCTTCAAAGAATTTAATTATTTTAATGGTCACTTTTCCTTCTGAAAGTGTTTAAAGAACAGACTTATCCTTCTTTGTCTGTCCTGCATACATAAAATAGGCCTCTACCAAGACAGCACACAAAGTGAATTTGCAGGCTTTGAATTACATAAAACAAAGAGATAAACTCTCAACCATGTGACTTCTCTATGGCCGTACAAAAATCTGTTGTTTTGCTAACTAATGTAATTACTACATGTGCTAATTTGACAAGATATGACTAAACAAACTCTTCAATTTTTAAAGCATGAATTCATAAAATATTTTAATACCCAAGAAAATGATTAATTCACACATTAAACAATACAAATGAGATGACAAACAGAAGCATGGGGCCTTTTTAATCTGCAAATTAAAAGATTCCAGTCTACATCAAACAGACACTTGTTTTTAAAAACTTCTAACAACACTTAACTCCCTTTAGAGCACAGAGATTAATTTCCCTTCTTTATTAAGATTTCCATGGTTTACAAACTCTTAAACTCTTGATGAAACCTAAATCTCTACTAGCTACACACAGATCATAAACACAGTGACATTTAAATAGAACACATTTCACTTAAATTATTTGCACAGACAAGTTACACAGGCCAAGAAGTGACAGGGCCCTTTCACTGTGTGTCTGAGGAATTGCAAAATGGGAGTGAGACACTACTTTAGGCCACACTTGAAGAAAGAACGGTGACAAGTGGTTTATTATTTCTGTATCTGTGAAGCTGTCAATTCAACATCCCCAATCTTTCTGACCTTTGTAACAAGCAAAGGCTGCATACTGGTACTGCCCGAAGGCCGTGTGTGGAGCCAAACAGTCCACGTGTTACCTCATTAGAAGCATCTTCCAGCTTGTTCTGGTAATCTGTCAAGGTCCGCCTCAAAGTCTCAAGGACAACAGAGAAGCTGGGAGGCTTATCTTTGTCCTTGTGGATGCCTGGAGAAAAAATATGGGATGAAAACACACCCTTAAAGTCACATAGGCACAAAAGCTAAGCAAACAGTAACAGAGATGTTACAATTAGTAAGAAAGCTGAAAGACATAAAACATTAAACAGAAATGTATTCTCCACGTGCATGGCTATACAGCCAAGTACTGATACTGTTTCTGAATAAATGGCCAAATTAAAGCTCACAATATATTAAGTTCAAATTTATTTCTATTTTATCAAGACACTTATCTTCTCCCACATCTCCTAAGCAACATCAGGGTTTATATGTACCTACTACCCAACAATTAAATCATCTATCCTAGTATTGTTTAGAGGAATTACATATACTTACTTTCTGTATTTCTGATCAGTCAGACATTTTATAATAAGATATTTTGCTTAAACAATAACTTCTGAACCAAGAATATATCATTTTCTATTATGCTTAGAAATACTCTTTAGTACCTACAATTTTCAAATTGAAATTTGAAATAAACAATAAAAATGCTACTAGCCACATAGCCCACATCATATTTTGAATAAAATCCTGATGGCTCATATTCATTATAAAAAGATGAATATTTCCATAATATACCCTCAAACTACTTTAATGTAGTTGTGACATAAGTCAAATTAATGGGGGGCCAATCAAGGTTACATGGTCAAGTATAATTCCAAACATTATGCCAAAAGAATGAAAAGTTGAGTTTCAAATACTGCATTAAGCTGATTTTTATTTTCTTTAAATTTTAAAAAACAAATATCAAATTTAGTTTGAAAATATCTATGCAAAAAGTATTTTTCGCCAGGCGGTGGTGGCGCACGCCTTTAATCCCAGCACTCGGGAGGCAGAGGCAGGCAGATCTCTGTGAGTTCGAGGCCAGCCTGGGCTACCAAGTGAGTTCCAG